GTGCCGTCTCAGCTGATTCAGCCAGGCTGCATGCCGGTAGCAGTTTTTGCCACCAACGGCTGATGGCCCTTGTCTGCAACCTCACCTCGACAAACCTGCCAAGACCCCAAGGCTCAACACCGCATCGTGTAGCCAACTCTCCCCAAGTTTGTCGCACTTCGCACCGCACCTTGCATGCCTCATCCGGCCCGGTGCTGCAGGTGAATGACCCACAGGAATGAGCTTCATTCATCTCGTAACCATGATTGCACTCACTGCACTGTCCTTACATAGACATACAAGACAATTTGCAGCATGGAGTCCCCATCGTATCGCCGAGTATCCATCGGCAGTGCGCTCCTCCTGTGCCCGACAAACCTTGCAAGCAGCTGCCTCGCCTGCAAGAACAAGGCCGAATCCACTCGCAGAAGCTCAGAATCTCAACAGCTCCCCGCCTGTGAGGCACGCGTATGGCTCACACACATCATCCAACGTCTTCTTGTGTCCAGGCTCACACTCAGCGCACTGGTCATCTCGAGTTCGAAGGCTTTGCTCGATGCACACTTTGCATCCTTTGCCAGCATTGCAAATAAATGGCAAGCACTCGGATCCCTTCCGATGGAATCCGGGACGGCACTCCTTGGCAAAACAGAGACCAGAGTCTGCAGAGACGCACGGAATCTGCAACCGCTGACTCCGTCGCGGCCCCCACCTCTTCGGCCCCTCCGGCTTTCGCACCCTCCAAGGAAAAGGAGGCCGGTGTCAGCTCTCCTCTAGACTCTAGACCATGCACACAGCCCCACGCTTTGTGACTCTTTGGAGAATGAAGGGACTTGGCAAGCGGTCCTTGCCCGAGGTGGCATCCCTGCAAATTGTAGGGCAGCCCGGCACCTCATCGCAGAACTGGGTGGATGCATCCGACATGAAACCCAAAAAGGGGCCAAGAAGCGCGAGCATGGAGAAGCAGTGGCACGTCCCATCTGTCCAGGGCCACAAGATGCCAAGACGTTGAAGTTTGCCACGTCCAAGGAAATCTCCGTGACGAAGTAAGCATCTCTGTCCTGGCGGTCGCAGTCCTCTTGAGCTAGCACCAGGAATGACAAGGGTCAGCAAACTTGCCTTTACCTCCGGCGCAATACAAGAATGAATAGCTGATGCCGGCGGCTCAGCCATCGCTTGAACCGCCTGCCGCTGGGACGCTTGGCTCAATGACTCAATTCGCAGGTCTATTCTGCCGTGGCCTGCACAGCACTGTTGCCGAATTCGGTTCGCGAGATGACGCCATCCTGGGTTGGAGACATGTGATTCTTCACAGCCTTGCCATGTCTCATGCTGCGATTCAGCATTATGCCGGCACGGTGCCCCATCTGCATCAAGGAGGTGGAACTCCCGGAAAGGATCCGAAGCTGCAACAGGGCCATGTCCAGCCTTTAGCCCCTGCCAAACGCGAAGCATGAAATATACAAGTGCGTACTATTTAGATCCACTGCCTGTGCCAGCTCCTCTTCAGAGAGGGTATCGTCGGAGTCCACGTCCCACTCATCGAATGCCCTGCTGAGTTCAAACTATCATATATCATGAACATTGCCACCGGCTTCCGAAGCGTCGGAGAGGCGTAGCCTCGCCTGTCATATGTCTCCGCATCGGCCCTGCCGGTCAATCGGCCTTCATCGAATATGGTCTTCGAGACAAGGTTGTCCTCCAGGGCTCCGCTACAACTATGCGTCTGGCAAGCCCTGGACAAGGCTGCAACGCTCTCCAACTGCGTCGTCGGACGGGGGCCAGGATTCCCCGGCAACATGCACCACGCACGCAATTTAAAAACCCCAGTCAGAGGCGAAAGGATCTTTTGGCCACGCAGCACTGAAGGAAGGCCTTCGATTCACTAGCACGAGAAGACGTCCCACATCGGCAAACTATTGGCAGAACCCCATGCCAAGCCACGATCGGCTGTATGAAGTCTTTACTGCCTTATGCGGCAGAACACTGCCTCTCTTCATCCACTTGCAAACTGAGCAGTAGCTCTATGCCGAAGCGCTTACAAAACCGAATGCGACAGGGAAACATGGACGCTTGCCGTGCGAAGGAATATCAACACCTGTGCCATGCCGACGGCCGACTGAGGAGTTGACTGTGGCTGTGCAGCAAGTGAGGCTGAGGAAAGGGCAGCAAGCAGCTTCATTGGTTCAGAGACAGGCTAGCAGCTAGCCCAGCCCAGCTCAGATCTCCTGAGCAAAACCGAAGGCCGAAGGCATTTGCAAGCACGTCCTGAACTCTTCCAGAGCTGCCTGCTGAGCAGATCGCCTGCTTCCTGAGTTGGGCGATGCAGACCCACCTGAGCCACCTGCCTTTTCAGGCGCCGAGCTGGGGAAGATCTGGCCGCCCAGGATCCGATTGATCGGCAAGTACAGGCTGCACTCAAGGGAGCCTGCCAAAACAGGAACAACAAAGAAGCAACAGCTAACATGAACGGGCACGGCCTTGCTGACGAATGGCCCGCGCTCACATGGCACACGTCAACAGCAGCCCCCCTTGAGCCGCTGAAGGCTGCGAACGGCGAGTCAGCGAGTGTGCTGATGCGTAGTCTATAAGAGCCGAAGCCTAGATACGCACAGAAGTTTGCACGAGGGTGTTGGACTTGGGCTCACTCTGTCTGCACGCAGCCGGCCTTCTTGCCCTGTCACTTGCTTCTGCCTTGCATGTTGGAGCGTCTTCAGGTATAGCGAGAACATTGTTCTAGATGATAAGTTCTTGAACTACCTCCAGATGTGTCACAAGGCTCCCACCGCCGTGCAAATTCCCACACGGTCTGCTCGATGTACGATCAGGACGGCTGGAAATCGTGCTCTGATGCTGTCCAAGCGGGCCAAACACGACAAACGCATGGATCTGTTGGCTCCCGCATGGCAGCAAATGCGTGGATGATTAACACAGCTCTCCAGCCTCACAACTTGAGAGCTTGCTGCGCAGGCTGGAGGTGTCCTGCTCAAGCGCAACGGCTGCCTGTCAGCGAACCTTCCGTTGACCGTTCAATTCAGAACTCCTGTCGGAGCTTCTCCGCTTCCTTCTGCTCGGCAGCCAGCTCGCACAGGTGCGTCTGCCACATGCTCAACCTGAGAGTCACCACCCCATGTCCCTGCCCCCCCCCCTTCCTCCCCGCTTCCCCCATGCTACCGCTTTGGCCGTTGCAAGGCAATCCTGCTCCTGTTTCCGTCAACATTCGAGGTCTGTAGCAAAAGCTGAGACCATGGCTGCTTACGCATTTCATCCTTGCTGAACACCAACAGTTACATGCAAGCAGCAATGTGCTGCAGACACCAGCAGACAATTGTCATGCTGGTTTGCCACATGACGAGGTCTCGACAAAACTCATCATCTCTGACTCCGAAGCGGGCCTGTTGCATTGTCACTGGCACAACTTACAACGGCTTGTCGGTGGAAGCCTACACTGGATGCCGAAACTGTGGCGGAATAATGTAACAAACAGAGAGGGAGCAGAAAAGACAAAAAGAACAATGAAAAGCGGAAGTGGAAAAATGTGTCGGCCCAGCCCCAGCTGCATCACCCTCCCAAAACCTTCTTTCGCTGCTGCTGCTGCTGTTCATCCACATTCCCCGCACGGACCCGCTGCTGGTCAACTGTGCAGAATTCCAATCACAGCCTTGATCTTCGAAATTTTCGGCTCCCAGTCATTGTCCAGGGTACCCATAAACCCCGGGACCCGGAGGTGCTCTTTGCGGACGCCTCTCCAACGGCGAAACCTGTCCGAGACCAAATGCTTCCAAGCAACCAGTATGCTGAATGACTGTCACAGACACTTCCTTCACGGCGTTGGTGATGATAGCTCGGAATACACAAAGCGGCATGCAGCGCGGTGAGAAGCTGAGTCTGATTAGAAGGCTCTCCCCGAAAACTGCACGCAGCAGTTACAATACGTCACAAGCAAAAAACACCCAAAGACAACAGGCGGCACGCAGAGGCGCGGCTTTTGAGCCTCGCATCAGTTCCTGATTTGATGGAAACTTCCCGTGCAGTGTATAAGTCACAGTCGGCTTTCTTCCTTCGCTTTGTTGAGCTTCGTGGTTTGCTCATTAACGGTGAAGAAACGGGACATGCATGGCAGCCGGCAGCACAGCACCAAGGAAATGCAGGCATGGCCCGTATCTGACAGATACTGTTCGGTTTCAGTGCCTGCGACCGTCCTCCAGCTCTTCAAGGTCCCTGCTCAACCGCCGCCTCTCCTGTCCCATCCGAATGATGGAAGTATACAAACCGAAGAATCAAGACTCCTCTCCGCCACGACTTCGACGCTTTCCTGGCGTCTTAAAGGTTTCCACCTGGCATTTTCCGCGCCGTTTTGCTAAGAGTTGCTCCTTTGGGCCTGACCATCAGTGACTATGAAATGCCCAAGCCTCATTGCTCCGATCTCGAAGGGGGGATGCAGCAGCCAAGACCTGTCCCGGCACTCTCAGATCACTTAGACCCCATCTTGCCAGAAGACACGACTCGATGCGTCCATCTTCAGCGCCAGACCAGGCCCAAACTCTCCTCCATGCCTCACAGAAACAGCAAGCCAAAACTGCCAAAGCCTCAGACGGACCCCGATTGCGAGCGCTCTTTGACAGGACCCACAATCTAGTCAAAGTTTCACACACATTGGAGCCTCAATTTGCCTCAGATGCTTCGGGACATTCGACTTGAGCCACGGCGACAAGCCCCAGGAAGGCTGTACAGGCTAAGGTTTGTCCTGCACTCCGAGCAGAACCACATCCACCTGCCCCAGCACGCCTCTTTATATAGCTTTGCGAGAGGCTGGCAGGCTTGCACAGCAAGCATGGACGAAATCCCACGATGCAAACAAACTGCGACTGGTCCCTGCATGCCTGCACAGGCATTGGTTTCTACTGTACTAGTGTCGGAACTTTGAAGTGCCCTTGCGGCTGATGCTTGTGTTCAACACATTCCTTTGCTCTAGCAGCTTTCCATTAACGACAAGAGCGTTGGTGAGACGCTGATGCCGCTCAGCAGCCGCAGCAGCCAAATTTGCTCTTTCCCTTCTTCGGTTTCTTGCCAGGCTTCCTGAGATCCTTGGATTGTGTCTTGACCTCAGACTCTGGCTGAGTTGCACCTGCCGCAGGATCCATCAATGGAATCGAGGCATTGGTGGCAGGGAGCGCCGACGGGACACCAAAGGCGGAGCCCGAAGCAACCGGTGAACCTGCTGGCAAGGAAGTGAGCATTGGGGCCTGGGCCTGTGGAGTCCCCACGACCACGAAAGACTGCGCCATTGGGGACTGGGATTGCATGACAGGTGTGCTGGCAGCACCCAAAGACTGCATCACGGGGCTGCCCGTGCCGATTGACTGCATCACCGGAGTGTTTGTCGGAGTTGGAGCTGCTTGGACCAGCTGCGGCGCACTTACGTTCGATTCCACACCTGACTGAACGGCACTGGGATCGACAGGCAACGGCTGTGGCATCTGTGTGCTGCCCATTGGATTGGCCACAATGGTTGTCGGCATGCTTGCGGGCATGCTGTATGCCGGTGCCGAAGTGACAGGGTATGAGCCCGCAGGGTATACATATTGCGTTGCTGGGAGTCTCGTCGGCATGGGCATGGAAGCAGCTGGAGGCATCTGTGTACCCGTCGGCATTGTCGGCTGGATCCAAGTTGATGTGGGGAGCGAGGCAAGCGGAACACCGACGCCGGTATACGTGGTGGGCATGCTAGTGGTCGGCATGCTGGCTGTTTGATACACGATCGGAGCAGGTGTTCCGTACTGGATGGCTGGAGCTGTCTGCACACCCGGCGCCACCGATCCTGCAACCTGCGTCGGAAGAGCAGCAACGGTTTGTGCACCGACCTGTGTTGTTGGCAACGCCATGACCAAGCAAGAGTTCCCAGCCAGCAGCTTCTAAAATCTACCCTCCCCTTCTCTGTCAGTCCTGCTGCATAACACACCACAACAGGCACTGTGCAATCAAGCGACACATGTTTTCAGTTCTCAAAGCTGAATGCGATGTGAAACAGACTTCACAACCCTCCATGATCCATGTTGCCTTGTTTTGCACCTATCGAAGCTGAGGTTCACAGCATTTCCAAGCAGACATTGCTGCAGGAAGAAGGGCCACCAAGCATCCCCAAGCCCAATGGCAGAGATGTTTGTCAGCCTAGTTGCAACACGCACAGCGCTTCTTGTCTTTCTGAGCTTTGCCCTTCTTCTTCGGGTGCTGCGATGTCTGCGGCAGTTGAAAGTTGGCCACAGCCTCGCCAGAGGCATGTACATCGTGAGATGCCGCTGGCTCCGCTGCATCCTCCGGTTTTGGCACCATGGCCGGGGACTGGCCGCGTGCGTCAGCTGAAGGCCAGCTGCAGGGGGCGGACAAAGGTGGGCCCATCGATGCTAATGACACGGGGCTGCCCGATGGGATTGCTGGTGTTGCCGCAACTGGCGAAGCCATCGTCAAAGGCGACACTGCATGAGAAGAATGCCATTGAGAAGGAGCACCACATTGCACTGATTGCACTGTTTGCACTGCATAGTCTGCCGACTGAACGGGCGGCAAGGAGGGGCTTGAGACAAGCTCGGGCTGCTGCAACCTCGTGGCGGCCGCCTGACCTGTCGCCACCCAGCAGCCCTGGGCCGGCTGTTGGAGTCCTTGTGTGTAGATGGAACCCGTTGGCACGGATGGGAACGGCACCGCTCTCGGCTGATACGAACACATGCGGGGTGTTGCATAGGAACTCGAGATAATCCTGACATTGCCAGCGGGATATGAGGCAGCAGTACTGGACGGAAGCCGGGTCACCGGCTCCATCATCATGGTTGGCCAACTTCCAACCCGAATAGCAACTCAACTTGTGTTCGTCATAGGGCTGCGGCAGGCCGCAAGTCTATTCTTTCTCTTCAATCACTAAACAATCACTAAACAATTTGTACTGTCTGCTCTGCTCAAGGATGAATGCCGGACCTTTTCGAGGAGCGATGCCCGAAAAGTAAAGGAACTCGCTTCAGCTTCTTCCCTGCATTACAAAAAACCGCCCCAAAGCTCAGAGTGGTCTCCATGTGCGAATGCATGACTCCGAAAATGAACGGCGGCAGAGAAGGAAGCAGCTCCTGCACCGAATTCAAGACCCTACTTGGTCTCGTGAACATCATTCGTGGAGAATCTGTTCAACAAACGACTTGTCGGGAGACCGGGCACCGAAGAAAAGATCAGGCTTCGTGAATTAAAGAGGATCGGGAAAAACTTCGCCGCTCACCCGACACCTGTGCCGGGGCACACTAGACGCATTCCGGGAAGTAGAGACGGTCACCGGTGTTCGCAAAAATACTTACGAAACCGTTTTGGCGAAGAGCTTGTCTCAACCACCTTCGGGTGACCGTCCTACGAATCAAGCTGATTCCCAAGTATGGCCTGGTGCCGGTGGTGCCGGCGCATATTAAAAAAATCGCAGCTCTGAAGGTCCACGACAGGCTTTTTCCGGGCTAGGACACACAAAGCAAACCGCTGTAGCATAGCGAGCATCCATGAGATCCACGGTGGGCATCGCTCAGCGTGGCACCAATCTCTAGTGCGCGTTCTTACCAGTACATGCACAGACTCACACTGCTGGTATGGCGCAGCGCAGCAGCACTACGCACATCACCGGAATTCTGGCTTTGTTCAAAAAAGGGAACCCTGAAACTCACTTAAGACGTTGTGCCCGCCCTCTGCTCCTCCACTGGTACTTCCATGCGCTCCACTAACAACCTCACAAGGATTGCAACGCACCGCCCGAAGAACTTGTTGTAACACGGGCAGGCCTGCTGCACCGGTGTGCAAAAGCCGCGAACTCCGGAAGCCAAGTGAAGTCTTCCAGGAGCATGGATGACACCTCATCCTCAGACAAGTTGCTACATACATGTTAGCCAGGATCGTGGCCGAAGCATGCGGGGCTTGTATGTGACCTTGTCCACCAACTTCGACTAAATCAAACAGGCAAAGGGTCGACGCTGAGCTTCACAATTGCCCAGACATACCAACAAATTAAAGGACCGGATAACCC